ATCACCAGAGCGTAGCTGGTTTTCTGTTGTGATGATATTTGTGTCTGCCTCTCCGCTGCAGGACTGATGTTGCTTTATGGTTTTAGTGTTCCCTATTTGTCTCAAAATGTCTACTTCAGTGAGGGAAGATACACCATCAACCAAATAAATAATATGTCTACCAGGATAAAAATATAAGGGTGATAATTAATGCAGTGCTTTAGGAATGGGTCTTAAAACCCAGAACTGTGTATTTGTGCACTCGTGGTTTCCTTGTATTGACACAGGTGAATTTTGAAGTTTTTTCGGGTTTTAAAAAGTTGGATGCCTGCAAGAGGCTAAATGAGACTACAGAGGTTGCCGGGGCATTTACCGTCTTGACGACGAACACATAGGAAACTTTTCTATAAGTGGTAGTGGTGCCACTTTAAGTATCATAACGTTTTTGTGCCACAAAGTTTGTTATTTGCAATAATACAAACTAAAGCCCCATTGGCTTTTTTTTCAAGGAAACCAGTGCAATGCTAACTTCCGGGTTGATTGCAATAACTCATTATCCCTGCAGCTATCTATACACAATAGGAAATCTAAAAACAATAGGTTTAAAATCCAGATTCAGGGAATCTAAAAAAGAAAGGGAAGTTTCTGGGAAACTTAAAAAGATCTTGGGGAGGCTTTAATAGAAATGTTTATTCATTTATTTTATACCTGTGTTATTCATGTTTATTTAATTATCCTAGCTTTTTAATGACTGGTTTTAAATATCATTTATAACGTGTTTCCGCTGCCCTATTTCTTAATGGTAAAGCACTTTTAATTGCCTTGTGTTGAAATGTGCTATATAAATAAACTTGCCTTGCCTATACACGAATGATTAAAAGTGCCTGTGCACACACGTGTATACAGAGGTGCATGAGTGAGCATAGAGCAGAAGCAGCTGTTGCCATCATACTTGTCAGTGATTGGCTCTCTGCGCAGCTCCTCGGTGTAGCTCCTCTGAGCTCGGGGATCGTGGTTCTGATGTCCCGGTCCCACCTGGACCTCATGTTTGACCACCGGCACAAACCTCTCCGTCTCCACGGCTCCTCTCACTGAGCCCACAGGAGCCAGCACATCTGACAGATGAGAGTCAGACTGATTAGACAGGATAACTCATAAATACATATTATTCAGTGTCTTGAACCTAAATGGGTACTGTAACACTTTTACAGCATTTCTGATCTATTACTGTTTTGACTATTTAAACCACTGAATGATTACTTTTAGGATTTTCTGTTGGATTTTTGATTTGACCAAATATGTGTGTGATGCCTGTGGTATTTTTATCATGAACCTGCAGCTGCACTCTTCACTCGGCTAGAGAAGCTCTGCTGCAGCTGATGTAATTATTGCTCAAGTGATCATTGAAAAGGGCACGCTGCAAAACACTTCAAATACAAGTGCACCCATGTATAGAAAAGCAACTCTCCTTAACTAGCATGACACCTGCAACACCAGCAAATACACGAAGATGTTTCATCGCTGTCATACAAAAGCGTTACGGATCAAATGTGTGATTTAAAAACGATGTGATACCTAAAACCAGATAAAAAATGTATTTCAAGGTATATCATTTTCTGTTGGATGATTAAATTGGCAGTATGAAACCATGACTCTACCTGGCCTTTCTGATGGAGCAGTTTCTACGTCACAAGATCTCCCAGAAGTCCCGGCTGCTGGTTCGGTGCTGCTGGTCGTCCCCGGGCTGATCAGCGTGCTCAGGGTAACTACGTCACTCACACAGAACTACAACACAAACACACACACACACCGTCAATATATCCCTCTGTTTAAAAAAAAAAAATGTTTGCTTCTTTATATCCATGACAAAGGATTAAAAAAAAATAATAATCGTAATACATTTTTTACCACTAGTCAAAAAGTCAAATTGAACTCAATTAAGCAAAATACAAACCAGAAAAAACAACATAAATCTTAAAATTTGACATTGAAACTTTGTAATTTCAGCAGATGAATGACTTAAGTCGTACATCAATTATCACAGATTTGTTTCTTTTTCCTGGCATTGCTGAAGTTGATTTTTCAATGATGTAAATTACTCAAACTGCTGTCAGAATAAGATTAATGAGATTTAAATGAGCCAACTGGACGATCTATAATGTTATTTTAGGAGAAGGCAAGCAAGTAACAAAAACATCTTGAAATCCTCTATAAAGAATAAAGGCACAAACTCGGGTTCACCTTGAGGTTGCTGCTTGGCAGGATGGCCATCCCCTCCTTCCACTCCAGGACGTGGACGATGCTACAAGCCCCGCCCACCTGTGTTGTCAGGGTGGTCGTCTCATTGGCCCGGCTTCCTTTACCTGCGTCTCCAACGGATATGGCTGGAGTCACCTCCAGCTTCTGATGGCCGGCAGCAGGAGCTAAAGAGAGAATTGCATTCACACTTAATAATGTATCTGATCTCACGTTAGCCAGCACAATTCATTTACCACGTTATGTTTTCATTTTGTTGCATCATTTGGTTTGGTTCAAAACTGAGTTAAGTTGACATGTTAGCCTTTACCAGAAACTAGGTTTTATTCAGCACTCTACACACTATCATTTAAGAATCCTCCATAGATTTAACATTTTACATGTACAGCAGCTTCCCTAAGACCTGGGGACGGATAATCAGCGGAGTCCCCTTTAGTTCATGTTTCCATATTTTGTTGCCATGACAATCTGCTAAATAGTTTTTGTGTTTACATTATGCAGAAAGACATGTCACGTCTGGATCAATAAAGGCTTCTCATATCTTGCATCTGACTCAGAGCATTTGAAAAATGGTACATCATTTTTCTAATTTTTAAAACGATTTAATATTGACACTGAGTTACAGTTCAGCTACCAATGCACCCTGAAGCTTATGCTCTCTTTTGAGTGTGATCATCAGTTTAAAGAGGTCAGAGGTGAGGGTTGATGTACTTGATAATACGGTAGAACTCTGAGTTAAAGGATAGTCTCTGTAAACCCATGTGACCACACTGCACCCCCCATGTTCACCTGGGAGGAGGAAAGCTGTGGTGGTGTGGGTTTGGGGACGAGCCTTCTTGGCCACACCATCACTCCCACACACGAGGACGGCCTCGCTGGAGGACAAGGTGGCGGAGGAGGACGGGTCCAAAGGTGTGCGGTCAGGTTCTTTGGGTGGAGCCTCCATGTTCACTTTGGCACTCATCATGGTGTCGCTGTCCCTTACTCCGGAGCGCTGCAGGGCAGAGGGGGTTTTCATCAATACAAAGACTGACAAGATAACAATTTGTTTTCCATATCTGAATCAAAAGTGTTGTATGTCTAAGGTTGTCTCATGTAAAGAGGTCATTTTCGCTTATCTAAAAAAAAGTTATAATAGAACCTCTGTCCTTCCGCCTTCCAGAGGTGGAATTTAACATGTACTCCAATACTGTACTTAAGTACAATTTTGAGGTACTTTTTATTAAAGCCGTTTATTTTAATGTGACTTTGCACTTCTCATCTACTTCCTTTCAATGGACAAATTGTTTGTTTTAAATTCCACTTAAGTTATCTGAGAGATTGATTTACTTTACATATTAAGATTTGAGCACAGCAACAACAAGTTTGACCATAATAAGAAACTGTTTTTAATACAAAAACATTTAGTTTCAACTTCTCAAAGTGCAGAAGAAAGTTTTTTGAATGTTTTATTTTAAATAATTTCATTTTGCACTGTTTTGGACAAAACACACAAATATCTAATGATATAATATATAAATAAAGTTATATTGGACCTTTTTTTGGCTTTGGCTACCTTTACTTTTGATACTAATTGCTTTAGTAAGATTTTACATTTTAAATGTTAAATTATAGTCCACTTTGATATATTTCTCAACATAGTAAATTACAAGGCTATTTCTATAAACGTTTTTCTCTCCAATTTCTTCCTTTAAATATTTGTTCCTAAAATGGCCCTGAGACAGATGGAATCAAATGTACAAAAGGTAAACAAAAAATACTTTTTATTAGAATTATTTATAACTTAAAATAAATAAGTAACTTTTAAGGGTGGCTTTTACAGATAATGGCTGAGCAAAGCCTTCCTCCAGGAATAGCCTGACCCGGTGTGACTTTAACAGCCATCGATTATACCACCATCAATTTAAAAAAAGCATTAATGGTGACTCACAAATGTTTACACAAAAGCTTATAAATCCACACACACTCAAAACATGCACATTTCAGTTAAAATGGCGGAGGCAAAAGAAAAACCATGAGTAAAAAAAATGTATAAAAGCAGCAGTGTCTAAAATCCTGTGAAAATCCCATTTAGTGAAAAATGAACCTTGTCTCCCATTCCGGCTGCATCTCCAATGAATGAGCAACATTTCCCCTCACAACAACGACAAGCATACTACACATCGCATTTAATATCGGTTAGACTGCTTTTATCATTTAAAAGTATTTAACACGATAGGTTAATTAAACGCGCGGCACTATCACGTATATATTTTAAGATGGGAAGCTTTGTGGTTGACGCCAAAACGCTTTACCTCAACAAAAAAACATTTACACTTGTCCCTTTCAAACGTATGTGGTGTAAATACGCTGGTACCTGGCACTATTTGAGGAACACTGTAAATGCGATATAAATTGGTGTTTACAGATCATTTCGGAACTGAAATTTGGCTTACCAGCTATGATCTCCTGCGGCTCCGGGGCTGCAACTGCGCATGCGTGGCCCCCCCAGTACAGTCACCGCTCGCTGGATATAATGTAACGCCAAAAGACTTCGATATGTGCAAATAATGTAGTGGACTATCGATTAGTCTGGAGAGCTGTCTCTTTTAATTAATTTAATTTTTACTTCCTATTTAACATCTGCACTACATTGATTCTGTTCATTTCCCTAGAAAAGTCCACCCTTTAATGAAAGAGCATTCATTATATAATTAGCAGGATATAGGTCATGTCGATACTGCAGTCAAGGTTTCTGTAATACTGACAAAGACACAAAACACGGCAAGTTTCTCATTAAGAGCTTTATTTGATCATACAATAAAAAGGGCATTTTCCCATAAAGTCTGTGAAAAAAAACGTGAATCTTATTCCACAAGATGAAGAAGGGGATGCATTTAGTAAATATGATGGTGTTAGTATAAACCCACAACCAAATCCTCCGGAGCCTCGAAGGATGTACCTCTTAAGAACAAGAACTCCAGTTCAAGTTTTGCACAATTGTCGGTGGCTTAAAAAACAAAAAAAACCTTAACCCCCCCATTCTCGAAATTGACTTTTTTCAGGGCTGCAAATGAGCAAAGCGTATTAAATCGAACAGTGCATTTGATGCCTTGAACTTTAGGCAAACTGAAAAAGGTTCTTAGTGCTCAGGGTTACAAAAAACCCAAACATTGGTAGCAACGGAGTGGAAGAAATCCGGTTTTGATGCAGATTAAACAGTCTATGAAAAAGAGGTTAGAAAGGGATCGTAATAGGCCACCTACAATGCAAGTTGTTTAAACATGAAATACAAACCCCTTATGATTTATTGTAAGTTTGCAGTTCAAGTTGCATCCCAGTTGTGCATTTTAGAGTGCCGCAAGACAACACACAGATTAGCGATTCCTTGAGAAAGCAATTGAGAATGCAGCTCAGAAAAAAGTAAGTGCATCAATGCTGTTACTTTTTTCTAAACGCTACTTTTTCTCCCACAACCATGGAGTTCGAATTAATATCAAACGAAACTATTGCAACAAACAATGCCTGCTGGATGCGCCAGACGCCAACAATGCTATTAAATTAACTGGTCTACCAAACGAAAAAGCTGTTGCAAACCAAGATGCATGATCAATGTTTTAAATACAATTCATAAGACATTTTTGCCAAACTCTAAACAGTTCTCTTTGAAACAAAAATATATTTTACCAACCAAGATTAAATGTTTGGGACTTGCACCATATTAGGTTGCTGATATAAATATATGAAGACTAGCACTTCAGCTTTTGTTAAAGAAAAGGGAGGAGAAACAGTTTTTTGTGAGGCAAACCATTCATGATTGCAAAAGGAAAACGCCACCACTGTGGTGCATGCTCTAATAAAACATGTTAAGGACAAGTGCAAACTTGAAGGAGAAAAGTAGACAAGCCAGGAAGCATAAGCCATTATGACACTGCTCAGTATGTACAACATAGGGATGAGGCTTGACAACAAGAGAATCATCTCCCTCTTCTTTTTCCACTAATCCTGAGAAGCCGATCTAGAACGAGAGCGAGACCTTGAGAGGGACGGAGAGCTCTTCTCCTTGGACTTGGATCTGCGGTCGTCCTCGTGTGGGGTTGGGGAGCGGGAGGCAGGTTTGGCAACATGCTCATCCTTCCCGTTCTCCAGTGGGGAGGCGGAACGACAGCGGGACTTCTTGTCCACAGACATCTCCTTGGATGGGCTGCGAGAACCTCGCTCCGACTTTACCTTTGAATGACTCTTTGAGCGAGATTTGGATTTTCGCTCAGCAGAACCAGACCGGGATTTGCGGGAGTTAGAACGTGATTTGGATTTGCAAGAAAGGGACCTGCGGTTGCGAGATCGGGATTTGCTTTCTCCCGACTTGGAGCGAGACTTTCTTCCAGACCTGGAACGGGACTGGCCACGTCTCTTGTTGCTACGGGAACCAGACCTTAAAAAAACAATTTATTTTCAATTATTCCGGCACCCAAAACATACTTTAACGCATTGTACACCCAACTAATTTATGTAAATACAACTACTATCATACTATTGAGAATGACGTAATTTTTAAAGACCTATTCTTACCTCGAGCGGGATCTGGAGCGACTCTTGGAGCTCCTGCTGTGGGAACGACGGCGACTAAGAGACCTGAGGGTGAGATTGCAAAATCAAATAAAGAAGTACAGCCAATTTCTTCTACAAAATGTTTGAGTTTTGTTTGAATATAAAAATGTTTAGCATCACAGAGCTTATTTAGTGTTCCCACCTGGAGCGGCTGCCAGGGTCAGACCTGCGCTTGCGCTGCCGGTCCGCCACCAGGCGAATCTTGCGCCCATTAATGTCTGTACCGTCCAGCTTGTCAATGGCCCTTTTCATGTCCGAGTGGGACCGGAACTCGATTACACCCTCATTCGTGCGTTCCTTATGGGCATCTGCATACGTCACCTCTCCTGCCTGACGCATGAAGTCCTGTATGACACGAAAAACAAAGTAAGACTTGATCATCCTGAAATGTTCTTGGTCCAACAACTTGACAATTTACAGAACAGAGGAAAAACAATGATTTTAAAACATGTACCTTGAGGTCTTGCCAACTGCAGCGGCTGGACAAATTCTCCACAATGAGACGGTACTCAGTACGGACAGGGGGTCCATACTTATCCCTTCCAGTGTGGCTCCGGCTGCTGTAACCGCTACCTTTAAAAACAACAGCACATGAAAAAAGTTAGATCCAAGAAAAATTTGCAAGACACACAGAACTATTTGCCTGGGTTTTCTAATGAACGCATGGCAGTGACTTGCTATATTAAAGTCCAAGGGGGTATATACATTTGATCTTAATAAGGAGAGTCCCTCTGATCCCATTTTCAAACACAAAGCTTCAGATAAGTGATCTACGGGTCACATCACGGGCTCTTTGTATAGTTCAGCATTTTGATGTTTTTCGCTGCTGAAAAGAACACCACTGCATCTGTTTCCGGCAATACAAAGCCTGTCTTACTCCGGTATATCACACTGTGACGCTATAGCTGCTTTAACAAATGCACAGGCTCGATATTCTTTCAAGGCCTCCAACCCCTGTAACACAAACAGAATGGAGGTATCCACATAGGCTGTGGTCAAGGACACTGTTCGATCAAATTGAGAAAGAGCGGTGTAGAGAAACACGTACACCAATCTTTAGGTATTTGACCGGATGTTGGTCTGAAATTTAGTTTTCCGGTTTTCTAACTTACAATATCTCTTTTGATTGGAAGTTCTTTACTTGAGCCGCTCCACTTATGTTTGCTGTCAACATAAAAACCAATGGCAATCCTCACCATCACCCCTGGTCTATTGGCAAAAGGCTGATGTCATCATGGCTTCCGGTTAGGTCAGCCAAGGATCAAGGGGGTCAAAGGTCACACACACATTGTAAGGTGAAAGCCAAGGCCAAACGGGACAGGCAGTCATCTTAGCCAGTCATCTTTAGCCTCAATGGACTCTCAGCCTCAGCCCGCAACTGGACTCTTTCAAATTGAAACATCAAGGACTTTTGTTAATGTTGAATATTAAAATAGTTAAAAATACACATTTCACAGGAAAATATGATTCTAGTCCTTATCATTGAGTTAAAAATACTATAGCTAGGTTTGTGATTAGCTTTCTTTAGTGGTGCAAACTAATTTGGAAATCCACACCTTCAAAAAGAAAAAATAGCTCAACCAAATTATTATGATAAAAAAAAGCACATGGCAAGAAAGCCTTGCGTTTAAGCTCTTATAGCTAATACCAACTTTAAAGCCTATGTTCGAAGGGCACTGACTTGCGTATTGTTGTTCCACCCAATAATGAAACCCAGACCATCAAAAGGTGGCCAATGATCACTGGGGAGGAGCAAAAACCGTTAGGTCACCAACCCTTGATGGTAGAAAATGAGCATTGTTCAGCAGGATGAGGCCGAACACACACAATAAATTCTAAGCAATAAGAATTCAGTTCAGGAACTTTTCCATGTGGGCAAACTGCCTCATAAGTTATAAAAATGAATAGAATAAGTATCACTATATATAATGTTGCAGCTACTTTTCAAGTTTGCATGAAATCTGAGCCATAATAACGTTTAGCCATGGATCACTGATCGTGACAGTGTACCTGGAAATCAAGAGTCTCCTGAAATAGTCAAACATGTGTGAGCTTATGTTGCAAGTATACATTAGCAAAGTTATGCATTCACACGACAGCTGTCTGTGCAGTCCAGATCGACAACTCGTCCCAAGGCAAAGAGAGGGTATCTTGTAATAGACTGCACTTACTGGGCCCACCACCCCTGTAACCCCCACCGTGGCCGTCTCGGTCTCGGTCCCGGTCCCGGTCTCGCCGTGGTCCCCGGGCGTTTTCGATGATCACGCGCTCTCCGCACAGCTCCTTCCCGTTCAGCTCATACACGGCATCGTCAGCGTCCCGGTTATCCTCAAACTCCACGAACCCATAGCTACAATGCAAAGACAGAGTTTGAATGATAAAAATCAAGTCAAAACAATGTAAAAAGCCACCCAGCTCTCTGGTTAGTGTTAGCTGCGCTAGCTAGCTCCGAACTGTAGCAAACAGAAACACGCCATGTTGGCCATGCGCCACCTGTCACACGAGCAAGTTAATAACATGAAATAACAACAACGCCTCCTCGTAATATTATAAGAAAAATAATAACTTTAACTTAACAACGATGCCGTTAAGGCGAACATGTCAGTGCGTCAGATATTATGATTGTTTTCGTTTCTTTAGCAGCACTGCCCCGCACTGGCCTCGTTAACATTAACGGTTAGCTCGAATGCTAGCTTGGAAATGTTAGCTAACACACTTTGTTTAAAAAAAACTCACCCGTTTTTTAAATCAATTTCCATGAGCTTTCCATATCCGCTGAAGAATCTCTGGATGTCCTTTTCGCGTACATTATAGCTCAGTCTCCCGATATAAACACGAGGCATGGTGTCTCTCCTGACGCTGTTCTCGACTGTTCTTCACGAGGGCTCGTTAGTCGTTACCAAGCTTCTCCGCTCCTCGAGCTGCAGCTGTTGTACACACCGTTAGCTTCTCTTCCAACAAGACACACCAGCCCATCAATTTCGAGCTAAAGGTGGCAGATTTCCGGTATTTCATTTCAAATTAAAAGCCCAATTTCCCCAAAACTGATATTTGTTGGATGTTAAGTTTGTCCACAACTACAGCTGGTATTTGCAATCATAGTGGAGGACAAGAAGTGTATACATCTGTTTTCTTAGGTCATAACTAGCCCTTAAATAAGAATGATGTTATGCTACAACTTGCATTGTGTGCTCTTTGTTATTAAGAGCCATAAACTAATGATGTTACACTGGCATATATTTTAAAACTCAAACTGAAAAGGGATCATTAATGAATGACCTGGAGTTTCTCGTTAATATTTTTTTGCTTTATTGTATAATTTAATCTAGGTACTGTAGTAGCCTATGTATGTTGAATTGTTTTATATATCATCCTGTTGATTTCTTAGTTCCCTACGCAAATACATGTTAAATAATCTCTCGGAAATGTGTACTTCAATGGAAAAACGACCTCAAATAAAAAGTTCCTATTAATCACATAGGCACCCAACAGGAGAAATGTATATAACCTAAACCAGTACTGTCTCCAAAAAAACACTTCAGAAAGACAAATAACTAGTCTTTCTTTAATTAGCACTGGTCTTGGGTTGAATACAAATTGTATGATCTTATTGCTTTGCATGTGTAATCTGATCCAGTTTAGTGTCATAATATAATTTTAAAGTACTCAAATCTCAGTGTCTAAAGAAGGAACAGCAGAAATAAAATATTATTTTGTAAATAAATAACACTTGGTAGATGTGACAGTGTAAGACAAGTCTCAGCTAAATAAAGCATTATTTGAAAGTATCGACTTTTGGATTCAGAAGTAGCAGCAAAATGGCAATAATGTCAAACAAGGACTTAAGAGCAAACTGGCTGTAGTCTCTCGTTACATTTAAATTGAATATTCAACAAATTCATTACAAATCATGTGTGAACATGTGTAAGCACAAAGAGAGCCGTGATTGAGAGAGAGAGTAGAACATTTTATTTTTGTAAAAACCAGGTTTTAAAATGATTCCAGCCAGACCTTCTTATCCATTCTTCTCAAACAAGAACAGTATCAATATAATATGGTATCTAGCATCATTGGTTGATAAGTCTCCATATCCTGGCTAGCTTGGGCTTACATTTCTTGAATAACACTTGAAAATTAAGATCTGTAAGAGAAGACTGATGTTAAGTTTCCACTCAAAGGCTTTTTTTTTAAGTGGGGAAGCTTTCTTCTTGACAGAATGTATCATGTCACATCAAATCTCCAATGTTTGATAAAATTATTTGATCTTAACATCAGAAGCAAAAAACCATGAAGTACACAATTGCTCATCAATGCCAAAAAAGCACTCACAAACACGCTGAATTATTTCTAGATCTGTCCCCCAAACAACCTCTCTATTAAAGTCTTCAGTGAAAACATGCTCACCCCCTTTATCATTGTTTGACTTTGTGGTCATCTCCTGCTATAAAACAGCATCCTTGTTAGGAGCCTGGCACAGATAAGTAACAATGACAAATCCTCCTGTACGTACTCCAGCCCAGGCATTTTGATTAGCATTGATAAACAGGAGCAGAACATTCTGGACAGGCCAGTTTGTGATTTAGAAACAAGAACAAAACCTTGAGTTTAAGCAGTGTGAAATTCAAGAATAAAGACCTGACCACATGAGTGACACAACCACACTGAGCAGAGCAAACTATGCCCTTTCATGGTAGATTAAATTAGCTGGAAAAATGTCATGTCTGTTGTATGTAAAGTGGGAGAGGAAAGAATGAGGATGCCATATTAAAATCAAGGTTTTCTTGCAGGAATCACAGCAAATGGAGACAGAAATAACAACCTAGGAGCTGGAGGGTTCGTCAGCCAAACAAATCAAATGCATCCAACAGAATGTGTGCTACACATCATCTGCTTGTGGTGCCTGAACCCCATCCGTCAGCCTTAGATACTCTCACTCCCCGCCTCTCAGGCCACGACACAACTCAACAACAGCCAAACCCTCCCACAGTTCGATTCAGAGAGTCCTTTTAGAGAAATCATGAGGGCCCCCGACCCCAGCCTCGGCCCTTCTGAGGGGAATTGGGGGGGACCGAGAGCCCAGCTTCGGTGGTCTTTAGTTGGCTTTGGCACGGAGCTGCGCCCTCTTGCCCGTCACAGCCTGGAAACCGGTCTTGATGCTGGCGACGGAGCAGCGGGAGTGGCACGTTTCACACTGCAGGAAATAGAGGCGAGTGTCCTTCTGCAGGATGGTCTCTGGGGAGCGGCAGGTGTGACACGTCACATATTCCTCTGCGGGGGGAAAGACAGACATTAGCACTGTTCTCTGTACAGAGGTACGGGATGTAGAACTCAAAATAATTGCATTGCACCCCTAAAACACTGTTAGATTCATGGTGGAGAGCTAAAGAAAAATCTTATTTATTTTTCAAAACAAGCTGAATTTTATCAAAAATCCATAGCTTTTATCAAATGTTTGTATGGGATGTTCCTAAAGACTTATTTCATGGTGGTGAAAACCTATTCTATATCTAATCTATATGGTTACAATTTGTTCAAAAAAAATATTGGGTAGATTATACTTGCCATTTGCAATCACTGAGGTTGACATTAGTAGGCGACAGATGCTTTTTTTTAAAAATAATTATTGCTTGTATTAAATTATTTGGCACAAGTTGAATACAGACATTGAACGTAGACGTTCAACCAAAGCACTAATTTAAGTTAGATATTGGTATATGAATAGCTTTTTACGAAGTAAAATGTATACTTACTGATATATCTTCTCAAAACGTTTTCTATCTGTTTCTGTTGGAATCTGCCTTTAATTACAAGCTGGTTATTTCCATCTATGGAACCACTGTGAACAGAAAAAATTGAAAAAACACAAACATTAATAACAATTCACGCAGAAACATTTTATTTGTGAAGATAGCACCTAGAATAGAAAACATAATCAAATGGCTGTTTACTCATGAATGTGTTATTATAAACACTTAAACTCACCTTGTTCCCAGCTCAGCTAACAGGAAAGCAAGGAGATGTTTAGGCTGACGATGCAACCTGTGATGAAGGATACATGAGAGGTGAGTTTAAAAATGCAGTGCTGGTGGAAACGGTTTGAGAGATGTACGAGGTTTGAGACTCACAGTTTGCAGATATCTGTGAAATTGACGAAGGAGGTTTTCTTAGTTCCCACTCGGACCACCTGAGGAGGCTTCATCACAAATTTCCTCTTCTCTCCGGCCACCATGTCGGGGTTCTTCTCCCTCATGATGTTGAAGACTCGGTTCAGGAGCTGAGAGAGAGAGAGAGGAGGGTTAGAGAATTGTGCTTCTATGAACAAAGAGTTTGCTTTAGGGTTGTAGTTGTTGCCTTTTTTCCCCAGAGGTATTTAGAACAGGGAACATATCTATATAAATGGATAGAGGAGAGTGTCATTGATGGCCTGATAAAACTTTATACTGATGTTTTTAACCTTATTTCCATTTGGTTGATAATCAAAATAATGTTTCGATCATTCAGGGACAGTACATAAGGCGAGGGCTATAACTTCAATGCCTTTTTTAAAAGCCTGTATTGTTTGCATTTTGGCTAATTGCCATGATTCAAAGTGTGCTGAACTAATACCAGTTTGTAATTATGAGTTTAAAGAGTGATTTTCCCAGCAAATGTATGTTTTTATTTCCAATCCGATTCCTAATTATGACTTCAGGACGTCACAAAATGTGTTCATCATGACCTAACTCAATGAATATACCATCCTTTTTTTCTCCCATTCGCTTTAGTCTTTGATGCAACTGAGCACACACAACAAGGAAGTAGGACATTTTCCATCCATCCTACCTCATCATAAGAGTAATCTCTTTCGGAGCCGGCCCAAGATGGTCCTGTGATGGAGCTGAAGGAGATCCCATCGTTGTTCTTCCCCTCGTCATCCTCCAATGCTGATAACACAACACATAAACATGAATACATCATTACAAGTGTCTTTTTTTATTCTTCAATTTACATCCTGAGTGGACTGATTCTCACCGTCATCCTTCTCCAGTAGTTCTCCCTCATCAAAGTCCACTTTCTTTTGTTTCTTTTTCTTGGTAGGAAGCATCAGATCCAAGTTGTCCTCTTCGGGCACCTCTGTCTGCTCTCCTTCGATTTTCAGCTCCTGGTTTGGAAAACAACGAGAAGGGACATTTAGTGAGGAAACAAAGAGAAATGGCAGCTTGAAGGTTGTTAAGACAAGAAAGAGACAATGAAAGTGATGGAAGAAAGAAGAAAACAAATGGCTGTGGTTAAGCAGCGACTGACCTTAAGACCCTCCTCGACTTCATTTTCAAACACTTTCTTAGGCTTCTTCTTTTTTTTTTTCTGGTTGAAGAAGTTCAAGTCGTTCAAATCATCGGATGGCTCTGGAGAAGACAAAACAAACGTTGTGTTGGTGGCTGAATGACATCACGTCACGTGTGAGTATTATGCACAGTGAGGAGTCTCAATCTCATTCTAACCTTTCTTCCTGCCTTCATCTTCCTCGAATTCCACCTCCTTGTCATCTCCTGTCTCTGGCTCGGCCTCCTTCGCCTCCACCTCCTTAGCCTCTTCTCCTCCCACGCCCTCTCCTCCTTCCTCGTCCAGCATGAAGGGCTTCTTCTTCTTCTTCTTCTTTTTGGTCATGTTGGGATCGAAAATCATCTGAAGGAGGAGAAAAGAAAAGGTATATTATATATAATGTATATATGCTTGTTTCGTTTATTTTATTAATTGATGACATATATCGTATTTTCCTAGCTGCCACCTATGTAGTACAGCTTTTGTTTACATTTTATTTAAAATGTCTTAAATGTTGTATCATTTGGACGACTGCTTATCATTTCAAGAGTAGATTCAATATAATCCTTATCGGTAATGGGACAATTGCATCCAAAAATGCCAAGAGAGGCCAAAGGGGAAGGACAGATTCTCTTCCTCGTCTTAATGGTAATTGTTATCTCAGCAAACTGATGCAATTTTATGAAATACTGTTACAGCTGAATGACTGGAAATACATTATTTGTTATTGCCTTAGCTTTAATTATGTCTTTGACTGTATTGAGGCGGATCCCTAACCCAGGAAAGCCCTTTGGATTAACTTCTGCTGTTTTTGTGCTATATCAATTTACTAGACTATGTTCCTCAGTTAAATATGATCTGTATATGACACATTACCAAAACACAGTGGTTTAATGTTTTTAGCAATGAAAGTTTCTACAGGTCGAATCCTTTACATACCGCTTATTGTCTAATAGTTTTTCATTTAATTATTTTTTTTAGATGTTGAATACTCCACAGTAGCTGGGCCACTTTTAAATCATTCAAACTGCATTGAAACGTCCATGTCCCTTTATTTCTTTTCAGCAACAGTAAAAATGGTCCTTACCATAGTTAGGTAGAGTTAGGTAGATTGGTACTTGAGAGTATTCTGAATTATTATGTATATTTTATAGTGTGTATTCTTAGATAGTCTTCTGAATATATGTATTTTCTACTGTGAATATGTTTATATTTGCTTTCAATGTTAGCTTTATTGTATTTTATTTTTAAGAAATGTTGTAAAACTTGCACAATGACTGTCAGAAATGCTGGTGTGACAATTTCCCAACATGGGATACATAAAGTATATTTCTATATATCTATCTTACAATATGTGTACGATGTTGGTTTGTATCAAAACATAGGGATAGCATGGGTACATTGAGTGACTCTATACAGCTCATTAAAATAATGTCAAATAAAATAATTTCGTGATATTTCCTTTATATAATGTTGACAACTATAAACATGACAGTTTAGCTGTGTCGGTGTTAACTGTCCATAGCAAATAAACAGAACCACCGTTACAACTCGGTAACAGCAGCTATTGTTTCTGGTAGAGAACACCGACCGTTAGCTAGGTAACCGGCCAGCTAACGCTAGCTAGCTAGCTAACATCGACCGTATAATAGGAGTTAACGAACAGCTGTGACACGGCGGAATTCTAAACCACGGGAATAATTATTAATAATCTCGATGAGAAAGAACGTGATGCAGCGATGTACTGGATGCTAGCTTCTCATTCAGGCAGGCCGGGCTGCCTGAATGAGCCGCAGCCATGTGAGGTCTGGTGCGGCGAGCAGGGAGGAGCAGCCAGCCGAGGCCCAAAGTCATCTCTACACCCATCTAACGCGATAATTACCATTATTTCACCAAATAAACATACACATTAACACAGACCACACAGCGAACAACCCGAGATGATTTACCTCGTCTCCTGACATGTTTGCGGGCTGTAAAATGACTCAAATCTGGCTACTTTTGGTCCCTCGATCAGTCCCACAATGCTGCGCTAAAAAATTCTTGCATCAGCGTTAGATCAGCAGTACGCAGGCGTGGAGTCGGCTGATCCTGACGTAATCAATTTGCGACGTCGCCTTCCTTGTGGGTGTTCAAGAACAACAATTAAACTGCTGCAGAAAGGCTAGAAAAGTCTATCTGATACATATCTGATAATAAATAAGGTTAAAGGATGTTTTTATGGTTCTAAGATCTTTGAAGATAAAATAAGGACATAAACGTGCACTTCTGATCTGTTTTGTTCTGCACAAAGAAAGGAAACCTTGAATCTATGCACCTTTTATAACATAGGCCTACTGTATGTTAGCTGATTTATTATCTCTTTCAATGCTTCGACCCCCTGCATATATATTCAACATGCTTGCCTGAATAAATGTGAAAAGGTCTGTTTTTTTAGTAACTCTTGCTAAATTATAGTTTTTGTCCTTAATTGGAAAATGATTTGCATTTATTCTACCCTATTACTATTTATTGACTAATACAATAAGGCACGTCTCTTTTAAGACCTAAACTTTCATTATACATGGATAATACCCTTCCTATAATTATATTGTACTGTTGAGAAAGGAAATCATTGTAAATTGCAGAGGTGGGAGAAGTACTCAGATATTGTACTTTAGTAAAAGTAGAAGTACCAGAGTGTAGGAATACTCTGTTAAAAGTACACTTCCTGCATTCAAAATATTTCTCAAGTAAAAGTACACAAATATGAGGATCAAAGTATACTTAAAGTACCAAAAGTACTCATTATGTAGATTGGTCCATTTCAGAATAATATATATTATATGTTTTGATTATAATTATTGTTGCATTAAGTGTTATCAAAGCTGGTAAAGGTGCAGCTAGTTTGAATGACTTTGTATACTGCAGGGTAGCTTGTGAATTTACTCCAGGTGGAACTAAAGTCTGATTCAAGACTTGATTATATTAAATAAAAGGTACAAAATAAATGTAATGGAGTAATAGTACACTATTTACCTCTGAATTGTAGTGAACTAGAAGTACAAAGTAGCATAAATTGAATGTTTAAAATTGTACTTAAGTACAGTAATAGAGTAAATGTACTCAATTACTTCACAACTCTGGTAAATTGTTAAATGTGTTATGCACTTCCAGGAACACTTCCTAATTGGTTTTGGCAATGTACCCATAATATAATGAAGGCTATGGAAGGACTTGACTTCAGTGTATTTATTATTGATAATCTTGACCTTGATATCACTTTGTGTTCAATTTGAATATTATATGATAAACCTAATCCTTATATTTGATCAAAATCTATTATCCACAAGTGGAAATGTAATAACTCAAAGCTTTTAAAACGCGACATGTGCGAGTTCCAGCTTCCCAAATGTGAGCATCTTGTGCTTTTCTTTGACAGTAGATGTTCTGAACTATTAACATGAATGACAAAACCACAATAAAAGAATTGAAAACCTTTAATGATTTTGCAAATAATATTCTCATCTGGATAAATAAAACATAGAAATGCAAACATGCTTGTCCATTGTTCCTTGTGTTGTTATTTTTTTCTATGTAAAAAATGTACATCATGACTTGAAAAACTAAAGGAATCAACTCTTTAAACTCCAAAATGTTGTAGATTGACTATAATCTAATCTTTTATAGAGCACCATCTCCTTCAAGATGCAGTTAATAAGATGTGACAATAGTTTATTATTATTATTTCAACATTATACAATTTGAAACAGAAACCCTTATGGAAAGGCCGGAGACAGACAGAGCCTGATGAAAGTGTTGTGTTCTTCCCTCCTAGCCGTGCGTAGTGATCTGTATCGTGATTCCCAAATTGCTGCATGCTTCACGCAACCTCGACTGAACCTCTCATTGACGGCAGAAATACAGTATATAAAAAGAGACACATTTGGGATATTTACACCAAATAACAAGAACCACTGGTGTGAACGCCTTTGATGGAGGGAGAAGCCGCTGACATGGCGACGGGAGGCAAAGAGGAGGGGATAAAAGAGACAAGTGCAGGGTATAAAAGAGACAAAGCACGCAGCCTGAAACAAAAGAAGAGATTGATATTCTGGCAAACACACAGCTCATAGCTTCTTCCCCCAGCTCATGCTCAGCTTTTCTCCTACTTTCAACAGCATTAACAAAGAACAGAGAGATAAGGACTGTTATTTTTGTCAAGTAGGGAGAAATAAAACAAAAAAACATCCAGCCAGTTTAACGCCACAAACACAGGTAAATATGTGAGTCGGAAACAGCTCTTTGAGGATTACATTTCCGTGAACATTCCCGTCATACAGTGAGGTTAGCGTCGCCACACAGCCTGTAACACTAATCTGATAACAACGCCTTCTTCGTACCACATCGCTCATCCTAGTACACTTCAGTATGAACTCTGTGGGCGCCGAGTAGCCCTGCCCAGTACAATGACCGTTAGGAGCTAGGCTTGAGTTAAAATTGAGGGTAAAAATATTAGGTGACTTTCCTAAAGGACAGGGATAGAGCCTGGATATAAAAGCCCCTGATACTCAGGGGTCTCTGTATTGTGAACGGGACAGGAAAACAAAGTTTACAGCATTGTTGCTTTTTTTTTAGTGTTACATAAAGTCAGCTCTTCTCAGACACACAAAAATATACTCATACACAACATCCTATCAGTCCATTCATTTCCTCTGGCTCCCTCTCGTCCCTCTCTGATGCAGGTATGATGAAGCAGCGCTGCGCTCACATGGCTTCCATCGCCCAGCGCTGCAGGTCCTCCATGTCGTCTTCGTCCTCCTCTTTCTTGGCTTCGGGGGTAAAGACAAAACAGTTGTTAGAGATATGGAATAAAATGGTATCTGTTTTTTTAGCTGCTCATGAAGAGGGATGCAGGATACACCGGGGGCCGATATATTATTGGTCCATAAGCAGGTAATTGGTTGTTAAATGAATGTTTCCAAAAGTAGACTATCGTGTCTGATAATGTGGATGGCAGAGAACTCCATAGCTTCTCTTGGATAACTGGACTTAACTCACACTGTACATCTTACATTTACCGTAATTTTCGGACTATAAGCCACGCCTTTTTCCCTATTTTTCGACGCTGCGGCTTATATAACGGTGCGGCTAATCTATGGATTTTTACAGCTAACGGCCAACACCTTTAACTCTATGGGCTCTATGGCCGGTCCGCGGACCCCCACCTTTAAGCGGCGGGTTCCAGCAGGAAAAACTGGAGGCCGGAAAAGAGTGAGACAGGTAGCGCGCAAAAGTAAAAGTGGAACCGAGAGTGGTATGCCGCTGCTGCGGCTTATATTCAGGTGCGCCTTATAGTCCGAAAATTACGGTAAATGTAATATTCCATTCCTTACAAACCTTATGTATATATAATATCCTGCTTTATATTTAGTTTACTGTCAATTGGAATTTCAACACCAACATTTCCCAAATTGGGATCAATAAAGTACATCTCATCTTATCTTATGGCAAGGGACGGCATGTAAGAACCATGTTGTGTGTGGGGATTTGGAGATGTATTTGAGCGAGACACACACATACATACACTTGGATTGTTTCCAATTAGAAAAACATGGATGTAGTCATTTCCCAAAATGGAATATATGAAATGAAATAAATTTAAAGCAGCAGCTTATCTTAGCATAAGGAAACAGCTGCTGTGGTTCTGCCCAGCAGTAATATACCAGCACATCTCATTCATCATTCCTATATATCCTTTCTTGAATCCATACAAATGTTTTAAGTCTGTTTCGAATGTAAGGGGTGGTGTTATGTTTGGTGTGACTATTTATTTTGGCCTTGACCAATAACTTCTCTACTGGTTACCTGGCAACTACGCAGGGCACATTACTCCCATATCAGCCTCATCTAATTCACTGCCAGAGTCTTTAACTATTCCTAAATCTAAAAGAAGAAAGAAGCTGCAGTAGGCTCCGTCAAGTTGTAAATGGACTGTATTTATATAGCGCTTTATCCCGTCTTTACGAGCCCTCAAAGCGCTTCACATTCACAAGTCATCTTGCCCAAGGACACAGTACATTAACCTGTTCACTGCAGTGATCAAACCCACAACCTCTCGTTTGAAGCCTGACAGCCACAGTTAGAGTTGATGAATCCGTTTTCCAAAAAGGCTCTTACCAGGTCTGGAAGGTAATGAAGAAGAAGGCACGTTGGGGAGGGGGGCGTTCTCCGGACCCCCGATCTCCAGCAGGTTTTTGTCCAGCTCCTCCTGCTCCAGCTCGTCCAGCTCCGCCAGCAGCTCGTCCTGACAAACACAGCAGAAACTTTTCAGATGAGGATATTTACGAGACAAATTCATGCAGAACAGAAACCCCAAAGAGATTGACCTTAGTAAAACAATGTAGATTACATGTAAAAAGGGACTTTTGGTGATATAATGAGTAAAACATCTCGCTGAGTTTTTTAAAGTACTCAAAGTCAGTTGGCTGGATTTGAGGAAGAGCGTTTCTTTCTGCCATATGTCCCTGAATGGGTGAATACCATCATTTATGGTGAAGTTGGTCTATGAATAAGGCCATACAAAAATATGGCAGCCTTAATGCCTGAGTAATGACTCAAGAAATGCAAAGGTCCACAAACGGTATAACCTTGTGGCTCTCAAAACAACAGTCTTCTGTCTCAAAGATGAAATACAAGACAAACATGACCTCCCCACAAATCTAAAATATGGATACGGTCGCTCACCTCGTCAAACTCCTCTCCAAAGCCGACAGGTTTAGAGATGGCGTCGGAGATCTCCTGGGCGAGCTCCTGCTGCTCTGTGATGTCCTGCATCAGGTCGTCCACCTTGTCAATGTCCCTGAAACAACAAACAAGATGATTCGTATTTGAGTGAAACAGAACGCACGATTACAAGCATTATTTACCCCCACCATTATTGAGTAAACGTGTACGAGTGCTTTTCTTCACTGTATATATAAAACCACCAGACTCAGGGACAGTTTCATCCCACAGGCCATAAGACTATTAAACACCTGAACTTTTTAAAGAACATCCATAAACATTCATCTGTCTGCATCTTGCAGCTTA